CACGACGGAGCAGAGACAAGCCACCTCTTGTCCCCTTTCCAAATTTGTGACTCACAAGATTGTGAGCATGGTTGGTTAAAAGCAATAAATTTTGGGGTGCCGGTGGTTACCACCGTATCCAGACTCGCCTCCACCAAGGCTGCCATTGTTGCCAGTTTCTTACGTTCTTCCTGCAGAAGTCTACACCCTCAAACAAGCAAACACGGAGGCAGGCGTGGTGGACGCGTCTGACAGCCCAGCTACTCCGGAGCTAGAGGGTGGGAGGATCCGTGAGTCCCCGAGATCAAGGCTACAGTGCACTATGACTGGCCTGTGGAATAGCCACTGCACTTCAGCGTGGACAACATAGTGAGATCCTGCCCCTAAAACTACATACTGAGAACAAAACCACGAATAGATTGCCACGTCTCCCCTTATTTATGTGGAGTTGCACCCTACACATCCTGGCCTGCCACTTGGCTTTTTTCATTAATGAGAGATCTTGAGATCATTCTAGATGTGTGCTGTTCATATAATAGTCACTAGTCGAGTCGGGATGGGAGCAATTTTTAATTATTTTTTATTTTATTTTATTTTTTTGAGACAGGGTCTCACTTTGTTGCCAGGCTAGAGTGAGTGCGTAGTGTCAGCTAGCTCACAGCAACCTCAAACTCCTGGGCATCAAGCGATCTGCTGTGCCTGTCAGCTCCCGAGTAGCTGGGACACAGGCATGCGCCACATTGCCAGCTAATTTTTTCGTATATATATTAATTGGGCCAATTAATTTCTTTCTGTTTATAGTAGAGATGGGGGTCTCACTCTTGCTCAGGCTAGTTTCGAACTCACTGACCTCGAGCAATCTACCTGCCTCGGCTCCCAGAGTGCTAGGATTACAGGCTGTAGCCACAGCCTGGGCATAGGAGCGATTTAATTAAAATTCAATTAAATAAAAAATTCAGTTTCTCAGTTGCACTAGCCACATTTCCTGCTGGTTCTCCCACAGACAGACACTGCATGGGCGGCTCCGTCACTGGGTTCAGGTTTCCTCAAATGTCACCTCAATGCAGCTCCCGACCACTGTAACCTGAAGCTAAAAGCAAGTCGCCAGCCAGCCCAGCCCCCGACGCTGTATTTTTCTCCATAGCGATGACGATCTAACACCAGGTGGGCTCGACTCATTGGTCTCGTTTACTGTGTGTCTTCCTGCGGGAGAATTTCGGCTCCTTGACAAGAATCTTCCATCTAGCTGGCACTGTCTCTGGGCCTGGCACCACAGCAAGTGCCCCAGCACGTTGGGTGAATGACTCCGTGAAGCTGAGACCATTTTTCGGTTTGTTGGACGTTTTTGTCTTCGTGGCCTGCTTGTGTCCCGTGGGCACTGTCACATGCCCAGCGCTGGCCCACCTGTCCCAGGCAGGTACCAGCGCGCCTCATTCAGAGGGTTCCTTTAAATCCCTCCTGAAGTTCCGGAGCTGCCACGTGGTGGCGGATATACCCAGGCAAGTCTCACCACCTGCCGTCACCGCCCAGCGCTCCCAATCCTGGATCCCAGAAGCTTCCCGCCTTGGCCCTCAGGGTTCTAATCTCCGCCGTCCCCATTTGGCAGATGGGAAACTGAGGCCTCAAAGAAGAGGCAAGGGGAAAATCTCAAACATTGGATCAGGAGGTCTGGCTTTAAATCTTGCCCTTTTTACCAATTTACTGTGGTTTTTGGGAAGTCCTGGAACCTCTTTTGGCCTCAGTTCCCCAGCTGCCTGCTTTATGACATTTTCATGGCTTGCCACAGTCAGGGCCTTTGTGGGGTACCGGGACGTCTGACTCTTTCCCATGTGTCGGGGAGGGCCGGCACTGAGAACAGCAGGCCCGGAGCCCCCAAAAACAAGGGGTATTATCACGCCATTTTATATCAGGGACGGAGGCCCAGAGGGGACGCAGACGTGGCCAGATGTCACAGCAGGGGAGGGTACAGGAGCAGGGACAGGCTCTTCAGTTGCTTCACGAGTGAGTCTCTGGGGCCTGCACCTCGGAGCGTGCCGCAAACACTTGATGGATGACTGCGGAGGTGAGCACTTTTTCTTTTATTGGCATTGTGTCAGCCCGGCGCCCTGCCACACCCACTGGGGCACCCGCGTCGGTTCTGATGGGCCTCCCAGCCGCCATGTCCCACCAGCGGGACTCGGCCGGCTCGCAACACCCTCGTGCTCTCCGTCCAGGCGGCAGCTGCGGGCTCCCCTTGGGCACGCGGCTGTTTGCTCCCTAAAATGAAGGAGAACTGGAGCATGCAGATCGTGTGCTGGGAGACGCGGTCCCAGTGAATGCCCTGCCTGTCCCTCCAGCCCTGCTTGGCTCTGCCACTGCCGTGTGGCACGTGGCCAGCCATAGCTTCGGGTTTTAAACGAAAAGCCAGAATTTGTATTTTGAGTGTAGCTTCTGATTTTTTAATGTTGGCATAAATTCCCACTTTCTCCCCCCCCCCCGAATAAGCAAAACACTATGGGTCAAACTGAGCACACCTGTGGGTTGGATGTGGCCACTGGCTGCCAGTTTGACCCTCCCAGCCCCAGTCTTCGAGGGCCGGTCGCTGGGAGAGTGACGCCAGGTGGTCCTGTTTCCTGGGCCCGCTGCCTGCAGGGCTGAGGCGGCCGGGCCCACAGCAGCTCAGGCATGCTCTGGCCTCAGGGCATGCTGGTTCCGCTACCAGCACCCCTTGGGAATGGCCGATATTGGTGGCGGGCAGCAGGCAGGGCCTGTCCAGCCAAAGAGCCTTGTAAAACAGGGCTGACGTCACCGAGCCTGCGACTCCCTGCGGGACACCTGGGTCGGTGCTGGGCGGGAACTGCACCGTTTCACTGCAGGGTGGGGAATGGCTGGCAGGGGGCTGGCAGGGTGAGCCCGTTCCCTCCTGGAGGCCAGAGGCCAAGCCCCTGCTGTGGCAGATCTTGGAAGGGTGGTCTCCGGTCTGCGTACCCTGGACTCACCTGTGACCCCGGGTCAGGCTACTTGGGCCTCTGTTCTTCCATCCGAAAATGGGGCTCACATCGCCAGACCTGTCACATTTATTACAAACCCGAAGGGGAGGGTCGGGCTGGAAAACTTGATTCTTCCGTCCTTTCAGGTGACCTTGTGCAGGTGCACTTAGATCTCCGCGGCCTCGGTGCCCTCGTCCGTAAAGCGGAGATGGCACCGGACTTCCTCCCTAAGTCATGGGGGATGGATGTTAATGTGTGCAGCGAGCTTGACGTGGCCCAGAGAGGTGGGAGGTTGGCCTGAGGACACGACAGATCTTCCAACTACCGACCCAGGTCTCGTGCACCCCAAGAACCCTGCAGGAGCGTGTGTGGCTGTGCTATGGCCCAGAGAGGGGGCGTTTTGCCTGAGGTCACACAGCCCAGATAGTGGGGGACCTCTCCTTCTTCTCAGCCTCTCCATCCCATTCATCTTCCTCTCCTGGCTTTCTGTGTGCCAGGCGCTGCTCTAGCACTGGGGCAAGAGCAGGAGCAAAATAGAAGAAACCCCGCTGGCCGGTGAGATAATACCATGATGAGCAGTTGAAGGAAATGAGGCAGGGTGGAAAGGCGTGACTGTAGGCCTGGACTTTCAGTGGGAGTCAGGGAGGGTTCTAGGAGGAACCTTTGGCTGAGACCAGAGGAGCTGCACTGGGCAGAGCATGGGGCGGTGCTCTTGGTGTAGAAACAGCAATGCGTTCTTCCTGGCAGGACTTGGAGGCATGCTCGCCAGGGGTGGCCTCCAGCTCAGCTCTGAGCATCCCACCGTGCAGCTCGAAAGGCCTGGCTGGGTGCTCTGGGGAAGCTGCCGCAGCCCTTGGGCCTTGATCTCCCCAGCAGACTGCTGGAAGGCCCAGAAAGTCGGCAGCTGGCCAGTGCTTCGTCCTGTCCCTCCCTGCCCCCACCCCAAGGGCACACACGATGTCATTTTCCAGCTCTTGGGGGCGAGGTCACCCAGCTCAGCAGATAACGAAGGTTGAGCAATGCCCTCTTGGCGCTGGGGCAGGGCTAGGGTCAGTGGGCTGGGTCAGCCCCAGGAGGCTGGGAGCTCCTGCCTGGGCGGAGGTGGCAGAGGGGTGGGCCCAGGGAGCCGCCAATGGGTCGGAACCGGCGGCGGGAGGGCAGAGGGCCCTCTGGTCCCAGCACTCAGCAGGAGGAGGCAGGTGGTCAGAGGGCCTCAGGCCTGTGCTCAGGTCCAGGATAGGCTGTCGGTCTTAGGTGGCAGACAGGGCTTTCTGTTGTGGATGAATGGGGACACGAGGCCATGTGACCTTGGCATGCTGCACCCCTCTGGGCCTCCTTTGGTACCCTCTGCGGGGGTCCCTTTCTCTCTGCTGGACAGCCCACAATGGTCTTAAAACTTGGGGGTCTGTGATGGGACAATAACACTGCTAATAACAGTGATCACACCCTGCGTGGACTGAAGCTCGGAGAAGTGAAGTGACTCACCCAAGGTCACACAGCGTGGCAGAGCGGAGCAGCCCCCGCCCTTCCACCATCCCAGTGGCCCGCGTGGTGGGCGGCTGGAGAAGGTCAGGAGTGGGCGAAGCGCGGCAGTGCGGTGGGCTTGGACTGGTGGCGCGTCGGCCGCACGGCCGCCGGAGTGGCGGCGCACCCTGCCGACCCCGTCCCCCGGAGTCCCCGTGTTGGCGGAGGCTTTAGGAGGGGAGTCGCCACCGGCGTGGAGTCTCTTCCTCCCAAGAGCTGGGGACCCGGGCTTGGGGGCAGTGTTTAGGGGCCGGGCCGCGCCCAGGAAGGCCTTGAGGCAGGCCACTTCCCCAGGAGCCGGAGCCGGGGACCGGGTTCCCGGGTGGGCCGGGAGGGCGCCGCGTCCGCAGGTCGTCGGGGCTGGGCTCGCCGTCCTGAACCCGCCGCGTCCTCCAGCAGGGGGCGGCGCCGGCAGGGTTTGGGGTGGGGGAACGCGTCGGGTCGCCCCTCCTCGGCCCCGCTCCCGGGCAGCCTCCAGCCCCGAGGGGCGGGCCGGGGGCGGGGTCGCGCCGCCCCTTGCGCTCCCAATCGCGGGGCGCGGCGGGGGTGGCAGGGGCGTCGGCGCCCGCGGCGGGGAGCCCGGCCCCGGACGCGGTCCCGCTCCGGGAGCCAGGCTGCCCGCGGCGCCTCCCGGGTCTCGGCGCCGCCGTGCCTCCGCGTCCGCGGGCGGGAGGGGCCGGGGCGGCCCCGGGCGTGACGCAGCCGTTGCCATGGGTCGCCTTATAAATAACCGGGCTCAGGAGAAACTTTAGCGAGTCAGAGCCGCGCACGGGACCGGGAAGGGGACCCACCCGAGGGGTCCAGCCGCCAGCCTACGCACTGACAGCGGCCACCCGGCAGCGGCAGCGACACAGCGGCGACAGCTCGGAGCGGGAGGCCGCGCCACCTGCGGGCCGGCCGGAGCGGGCAGCCCCAGGCCCCTCCCCGGGCACCCGCGTTCATGCAACGCCTGGTGGCCTGGGACCCAGCATGTCTGCCCCTGCCGCCGCCGCCAGCCTTTAAATCCATGGAAGTGGCTAACTTCTACTACGAGGCGGACTGCTTGGCTGCTGCGTACGGCGGCAAGGCGCCCCCCGCGGCCAGAGCCGGGCCGCGCCCCCCCGCCGCCGAGCTGGGTAGCATCGGCGACCACGAGCGCGCCATCGACTTCAGCCCGTACCTGGAGCCGCTGGGCGCGCCGCAGGCCCCGGCGCCGGCCCCGGCCGCGGACACCTTCGAGGCGGCTCCGCCCGCGCCCGCCCCCGCGCCCGCCTCCTCCGGGCAGCACCACGACTTCCTCTCCGACCTCTTCTCCGACGACTACGGGGGCAAGAACTGCAAGAAGGCGGCCGAGTACGGCTACGTGAGCCTGGGGCGCCTGGGGGCCGCCAAGGGCGCGCTGCACCCCGGCTGCTTCGCGCCCCTGCACCCGCCGCCGCCGCCGCCGCCGCCGCCGCCGCCCGCCGAGCTCAAGGCGGAGCCGGGCTTCGAGCCCGCGGACTGCAAGCGGAAGGAGGAGGCCGGAGCGCCGGGCGGCGGCGCCGCAGGCATGGCGGCCGGCTTCCCGTACGCGCTGCGCGCCTACCTCGGCTACCAGGCGGTGCCGAGCGGCAGCAGCGGGAGCCTGTCCACGTCCTCGTCGTCCAGCCCGCCCGGCACGCCGAGCCCCGCCGACGCCAAGGCGCCCCCGGCCGCCTGCTACGCGGGGGCCGCGCCCGCGCCCGCGCAGGGCAAGAGCAAGGCCAAGAAGACCGTGGACAAGCACAGCGACGAGTACAAGATCCGGCGCGAGCGCAACAACATCGCCGTGCGCAAGAGCCGCGACAAGGCCAAGATGCGCAACCTGGAGACGCAGCACAAGGTCCTGGAGCTCACGGCCGAGAACGAGCGGCTGCAGAAGAAGGTGGAGCAGCTGTCGCGCGAGCTCAGCACGCTGCGGAACTTGTTCAAGCAGCTGCCCGAGCCCCTGCTCGCCGCCTCCGGCCACTGCTAGCGCGGCCCCCGCGCGCCCCTGCCCGCCGCCTCCGCGCCGCGGACTCCGGGGAGCGCCGCCCGCCCCGGTGGCGCCGGCAGAACTTGGGCACCGGGGCACTCGGCAGCGCGGGGAGCCGTCGGTAATTTTAATATTTTATTATATATATATATATATCTATATTTTTGTCCACACCAGCCGCACTTGCAGATGGGGCGCCCGCCCGTGGTGTTATTTAAGGAAGAAACGTCTGTGTGTACAGATGAATGATACACTCTCCGCCTCCCCTCTGCCCTCGCCGGGCGCCGGCGGGCGGGCCGGTTTCGAAGTTGATGCAATCGGTTTGAACATGGCTGAACGCGTGTGTACACGGGACTGACGCAACCCACGTGTAACTGTCAGCCGGGCCTGAGTAATCGCTTAAAGATGTTCCTACGGGGTTGTTGCTGTTGCTGTTTTTTTTTTTTTGTCTTTTTTTTTTTTTTTGTATTATAAAAAAAATCTATTTCTATGAGTAAAGAGGCGTCTGTATATTTTGGGAATCTTTTCCGTTTCAAGCATTAAGTAAGAACACTTTTAATAAACTTTTTTTTTGAGAATGGTTAAAAAGCCTTTTGGGGGCAGTAGTTGGCTTTTGTTTTTTTCCTTTATTTTGGAGCTATAGGGTTTTGTTTTTGCGTTTCTGGTGTGTAGGGGGTTGCTGAGTGTGGGGGCACGGCTATTATTTTTGGAGTTTTGGTGGTTGGGTGGGGGTGTTGCAGTTGGTTTTTCTCCTCTGCTGTCCCCCCCCCCAGGGTCTGCTTGGAGATGGAGGTGCTGGCCCTGGGGGTAAAGGGGAGAAGAGTGCTGGGTCAGGCTTTCAGGGTGACTCAGCACCCCTGGGTGCTGGGGATGGGTGGCTGGGAACCCTGCTTGGGAAGGGAATCCAGGACCTCCGGCCAGTTCCTAGTGTCAGGCTTGAGTTTGGAGGGGCTGGGAGGTCTGTGACCCTTGCCCTGTGTTTGGGGACAGGGCAGGCGGGCCTGTATCTCTGTAGGAGGAGGGGGTTCAGGCTTTGGTCTTGCTGAGCCTGAGTCAGGGCAGATTCTTTTGTGTAGTTGGGCGGGTTGTTTAAAAAATACTTTGTGTATGTGTATATGTATATTTTTAAGAGAGGAGCCTGAGTGTGTGGGTGAGACTGTTTGTGTGTGTCCCTGGCTGGTTTGTGTGTCCCTGGCTGGTTTGTGTGTCCCTGGCTGGTTTGTGTGTCCCTGGCTGGTTTGTGTGTCCCTGGCCAGCCGCAGGGGAGAAGCCAGGCCAGGTGGAAGGAGGTGGGGGAAGGGTTCCTACACTTTCCTCCCTTTCCTTGGGATGGGAACTTGTCACCTGCCCTCTGCCCAGATGTGGACACCGGGGCCCCACTGTCACCTGCTTGAAGATAGCTGAGCCAGGCATGGACCTGGGGCCGCCGTCCCTGCTTCCCTGGGACAAGCTCCTCTTCCCAGCCCCTGCTCCCTCTGCCCTCTCCGGCCTCTCCTCACGGCAACCCCCACCCCATTCCCTGCGCTGGACGGCATTCCTGAGAGTTGATGTGGACGGAGGGGTTGGTGGATACACGCACAGCGTCCCACGGTGCCTGGCACGCAAGAGGTGTTATATAAGCGTTTGCTCGTGTTATTATTTTTTGCTGGGAGGCTCCTGGCATCTGGCACCCCAGCCTGCAGTGCAGTGTGAGCGTGGCCAGCACTTGCCAGGGGCCAGCGTCTGGTAAACCTTGACCTGCCCCACATCTTTTAAACCTCACAACCACCTTTGGAAAGGTGGGGTGCCATTATGACAACTGTTTTCAGGTCTGGGGAGCAGCTTTTGGCTGTCAGACCCCCCTGGGCAAGAAACTAGTTGGAGTCACCCTGCCCTGGGGAGTTCCGGGGTGGCGGGCCTGCTAAGGGCCTTGGGCAGCCTGGGATGGTGGGAGCAGCTGCTGATGCTGTGGTTTGAGAGTGGGGACTGCTTTTCTCCTCCTGTGCCCTTTGGGGGCCTGGATGCGCTCTCCCTGTGGGAGCCCGGGGTATGGGGGGCAGAGACAGTGACACTCGGCCCCCACTGCTATGGAACCGAGGATCCAGGCAGACTCCACTGTTGGTGGCACTAGGGCTATGCAGACTGCTGGACACAGATAACCTCCCTTCAGCCTGGGGCCTGCAGCGTGGCCCTGACCACGTCTCCTCCTACCCCAGGAGACGGGGCGACTGGACTACTGGCCAGGTGGCCCTTGGATCCTGGAAGACGGCTCCATCAGTACCAGCTCCGGGACGTCGGCCCGACCTCCAGGACTGACTTGCTGAACACAAAGGCTGGGGGCCTGGTGCAGGGAGGTTCGGTCTTTCCAGGGGCAGTGGGGAGGGTTGCAACTTAGAGATGAGTCTCTCCAAATCCTGCTCTCCGCTCTGTCACCGAGAGTTGGCAGGTGGTGGCTGCTCACGTGGCAAGGTGAGAGGGAGCAGCCTGGCCAAACAGGGACACCCACCCCTGGCTGCCGGCTGCTGAGCGCTGTCTGGAGCCAGCATGAGGGCAGCTCTTCACATGCTCACATGGTGCTTCCATCCCACACACACTCTATGGCGGATTACGCCCATTTCTAAAAAAGCAAATTGAGGCCCACAGAAGCGAGGTTAGTGCTCGAGGTGGAACAGGTGGAGCCGGTTACAGAACTCATCTGACGCCCAAGTCTCCAGGGAAAGTTTGGGGCTGAGAGACTGGTTTGTAATCCCACCCCTTGCCCAATCCTAGGCTTTTTGGAGGGCTTTTGCCTGGCCTCAAGTTCAGCGAACCCCGGAATTAAGTGACCTGCAAACAGTTTCCCAGTGTGGGTACAGCGGAAAGGGAATTGGAGCCTGAGCCCTTCTAACTGCCTCTGCAGAGGCCTAGGAAAGACAGTTAAGGCTTTGACGGTGGCCTGGGTGACATGGCGTGGGCGCACTGTGGACGGAGCTGTGCCTGAAGGACTCACAGAGACGTCCTAGCTGGGGTGACACCCACGCCGTGGATCACCATGCTGCAAGGGCTAAGGGATTGCAGGGAGGAGCCAGTTCCTTCCAAAGTCCAGAAACAAGAGAGTGGGAAGGGGTGAGGGGAGCCCAGGAGGGCAGGGCCAAGCCTCACGGAACAATAATAATAATGATAATAGTGGATGTGAGTCAAGTGCTTAAGATGTGCAAAGCAGCACTCCAAGCTCTTGGCACAGACAGCTAACTGGATCCTTCCGTCCGGCAGAGAAAGCTGGTCATGTTAACCACATGGGCTTGACACTGAGGCTAGCTGGGAGGTGGGGAACCTGGAACCCCAACCAATGTTTGCTCAGGACAAGAGAGTTAATAAAACACGTTCACACCTCATAATCCTATGCAGTCATCCCACAGCCAAGGAGAAAGGTGGGTGTCAGAAACAAAGATGGAGGCACTGCTGGGTGCCGGGCGGGTGCTGGGTGCTGGGGCTTGCTCGCTGCTTTAATCGGCTCGTTGGCCTCTGAAGGCTGCAGCTTTCGTTATGGGCATTTTCCTGCCACCAAATAGGCTCAGAGAGGTGAAGTGACCTGTCCAAGTTCGCTCAGCTAAGAATGGTGGAAGTTGGGGTAGGAAGTAGAAGGGACTGCTCCTTCTTTCTAAACACCTAGAGAATGTTCCCTGCCCTCCAGGTCCTGTCCAGGCCTCTCAGAGGCTGTTTTGTTCTTGTCTCTGAGATGTTTATTTGCCCTATTTTCTCCCATTTATTAGACAAGCACTTATTGAGCATCTGCTGTGTGCCAGGCCCTTTGCTGGGTGCTGGGGACATGGGGTGGCCATTTACAAGGAGAGACAGACACTTAAGTATCCAGTGACTGGAACAAGACAGTGGCAGGTGCGGAGCAAGGGCTCCAAAGGAAGGTGAGGCAGAGGGGGAGGGGAGATCCCTCAAGGCCTCTCCTAGGAGGTGGCATCTGAGCCGAGGCTGGAGCCAGGTGAGGCGGGAGTGGGGACCAGCCACGGTTTGTGGAGCACTCAGTCTGTCCCAGCGGCCGTCCTGCATGCTTTATCCTTAGAAAGGTCCAGTGATGTGGCTGCTATTTATTACTCCTTTACCCCAGATGGAGAAACTGAGGCACAGAGAGGCAAAGTCACTGGCCCAAGGGCTGGTGAGTGGCTACTGTGAGATTGGAATCCCACCTTCCCTTGCACCTGCCACCTTCCCCACTTGTCTTCCCCCCCCCCCCCCCCCCGGGCCCCAAAGCTCTGCGCTCCGGCCCCAGCCCGCGCTCTTTCTCGGCTTGGCTAGTCTGTGCTGGTGTTTCAGGCACCTGCTGCCAGCAGGCCACTGTCCTCGTGGGTTTCTGACAGCGTGTGGCCGGTTGCAGGAAGGGCCGGGCGGGAGGCCAGGCTGGGCAGGCTGGGGAGGCAGCTGCTTTCCGGGGCCCTGGCCTGTGGGTGTCTGAGCCCCTCCCAGGTGTGCTCTGAGGCAGGAAGGTGACAGTTCCATTTTGCAGAGGGGAGATGTGGGGCTGTGAGCAGGACATCTCGTATCCAAAGAGCAGCAGAGTTGGGGTTCAAATCCAGATCTGTCTGCACCCAACTTAGCCCCTTTCCTGCCTGACTGCTGCGGGGCAGACAGACTCACAAACCTCGGCCTTACACCCTCTGAGCACGCCGTGCCCGGCAGAAAATAGCTGCGGGCCTGTCCCTTGCTTAGGTGACCTTGGGCAATGCACTTGGCCTGGCTGGGCCTGGGCCTCCTCACCTGTGGACACACAGCACATGCGCTCAGCCCATCGGGGCCACCCGCCGTGGCCTCCAGGTGGTCCCGCCCCTAGAGCTGCCACCGTGGCGGGCGAGACACACAGTGTGTGGCCGGACGGCAGGTTGGCAGCTCCTTTCCGACTGTGACGATTGTGACGATTGTGACGATTGTGACGATTGTGACAAAGGCCTTGAGGAAAATAAAGTGGGGGCAGTGGTGGAGGAGGCGGGGAGGAGGGAGGAGAGGGCATCCCAGGCTCTGGGAGAGGGCGGGTGGCAGGGTCCTTTACAACGTGGCTTGGAGGCTGGGCGAGGCTGGGCGAGGCTGGGAGAGGCGTTTGAGGGGGAGGGAGTGGGCGTCCCTGCCAGTCCCGGCACCCCGAAAGCCCTAGACAAGTCTGTCGGTGGCATGGAGCAGCCCCTGGCCCTCGGGGCTGGGGAAGTGCAGTGGGTGAAGGGCACAGGGAGGCCACCTGCCTGCGCCCAGGAGACCTCACGGGTGGCCAGGAGCCTCTGACCCAGGGCCTGGAGCCACGGGAGCGCTCAGCCGGCAGGAATGAGGGGAAGGGCTGGCCAGGAGCCGGAGCCAAGAGAGGGAGAGTTCTTGGGGAAGCAGTGACTGCAGGGGAGAGGGCACCAGCCCCGTGCAGGGAGGGAGCAGGCTGAGGAGGGAGGTGAGGGGTTGGGGGACAGGCATCGGGAGACTAGACCCCTAGAGGGGCGTTTTCTTTTTATTTCATTTCCCAAGTAACGCATGGCCGTCGTGGGAAGGTCACAGAAGGTAGAGTATTAGTAAAAGAAGGAAACAGAAAGCGCTCAGAAATAAACCTGTTAACACTTGCTGTGTGGCCTTGGGCAAATGAC